TGATGAATTTGGACGGAAATATGTCATCGAGACACAATCAATATTTTAAAGATTAAATTATGCAAACTAAAAACTTCAACAACTAAATAAGAATTTCAGCATCACTACATCAACATTGTGATTTCCGATTCACCCTATTTAAACTCTCACGAGCCCCCCCCCCTCCCAAAAAAAAAAACCCACAAAAAAAATTATCGAATTGATAAAGATTGATTGGTAGGGTGAGATATGGTCAAAATATGATGTCAAACACTGGAGGTCAAAGTATCGAAGAACACGTTCAGATTTTTCACAATACATTTTTCTTCGATTTCATAGAATGGTATGTCACGCGTTACACATTGAAATAGAACCCCCAACTTTAAAAGAATAAGGCTATTAGGGCAAGTTCAAAGAAACACAGACAATATAGAACATTTTAAAGGATTTTTAAAACAAACATAAGGCTTCATTGAAAATGCAAGTAATTTCAGGCTAAGAGCTTTGTAGGAATTGTCAATTGTAAATTGTGATACAATAAATTAGTATCTCCATACCCACGCAAAATAAACATGAAACTTTTCCAAACAAGGCAAAATTAGGATTAAGTAGGACGACTAAAAGTCTAAAATCACTAAGAATCCACAATAACAAAAATATATTTAATGCAACGGTGACTCCACATCATCACTATTATTTAGTATCACCAATCAAATTTATGAATAACTATGCAGGACTAATAGATCTCATCAAATTCTATAGCTATTAATAACTTTCATATTCATTTATTTATTTATTATTGGTGAGAAGTGAAGTGACCAAACCGTTACATTGGATATTTACTCTCAGTCACATGTGCAAATAAGAGTTTATCATTAAAAAAAAAACATATCAACATGGAGTCCCTACCAAGCATTATCATCATCCACCTCCACTTCTCTGTTCTCTCTTGATCTGATCTTCTTACCCATTTTTTTTTTTTTGATTATCTGATAATCTCTATGTTCCAAATCCCCTCAATAATGACTTTGCTCTTATCCAAAATGGATCAATCACATTTGTTTATAAATACTCCCAATTTGAAAAATTACAAAAGAATATTCTCAAATTCCCCAACACAATACCAATTAAAGATAACATCAAACCATGCTGCCAATAAGGAATTCAATCAAACCTTTTAACAGTAAGTAATTCAATCAAAAAAAGGCTTTTGATATCCTTTCAAGGTGAATCCAAACAGCATTCAAAACAATGGATCTTTCATCATTAATCAAATCTTTTTCATTCTTTTCTGTACACAGAAACAGAAGGAAAAGCACAGAAAATGGGTAAGAAGAATAGATCAAGAGAGAGAAAACTCACTCAAGATCAGATCAAGAGAGAGAAAACTCAAGATCAGATACAATATTTTGTGGCACACTTACAATCCTCTGTAATAGGATCTAAACTTCAACAAAACAGACAATATTGTTGTTTCATAAGCCCATAAAGTTGAAGCAAACCCATATGGCATAAGGACTTGTACACCCATCTACATTGAATCTAACAAAGAACAAAAAAAAAGGAACCAGTTTCTCATCAGCCAATGATAGAATTTTCCCTTCGTAATTTTCGATTCAAGAAAACGAAAAATAAAAGCAAATCAAAGGAAAAAAAAAAAACCGAAATCTTTCAAAATCACCGTGGTCATGATCACCAAGAATCATAGGCATAGAGCAGTGGCGTGGAAATCATCAGCTTCAGCACCGTCAATCTCATCCAAAGGCGGAGGCTGGTTCAGATCAAAGGGTAAAGGCTTGTGAAACGACGACGTCTGATCTGCAGCCAAATCGTCAATCACCGATGACGATGAGTCACAATCGCTGTGGCAATCATCCGGCGGCACTGGTGGCTTTAACCGGCGTTCGATTCTTATCCGGGGCGGTGGTGGATTCGAGGGTCTTGGCCCACTAGACGACTCCAGGGTCGAACTCAAACTGCTCGACGTATGGCGTGAATGACGAAACTGTTCAAACATTTGAAAACGATGTTGATCTCTGTGTTGATTGTTCTCAACATTGGGGTTTTCTTGAATTGCAATCGGCAATGATGGGAAATTGGTTTTTGTTTTGGGGCCGCGGAGTGACAGTGCGGCGGCGTCGTAGGCTCGAGCAGCGTCCTCGGCGGAATCGAAGGTTCCAAGCCATACTCGGGTCTTCTTCAACGGGTCTCTAATCTCGGCGGCGAATCGACCCCATGGCCGCTTCCGTACGCCGCGAAATCGTTGCTCTTTTTCTGGGTTTCTCACAGATCCTGATCCGATCGCTTTTACCGTCGCCGTCGCTGTTGCTTTTCCTCGTCGCATCGCCTTCAATGAAGGAGGGATTTGGGGAAAAAAAAATCGGGAGATCGTAGGAGATGGTAGGTGGGGGGTAATTAGGGTTTTATCTGTGGAAATTCTTGGCTACCACCTCCTTATCTATTGTTAATCTTGTTGTCTCTCCATCTCTTCCTCTGGTTCGTTTCTCTCCCCTCTTTTTTCTGGCCTTCGAATTTTCTCTCTCCTCCTCCACTCTCGCTCTCTTGGGGGGTTCTCTTTCTATCTCCGCAATGGAGAAACCGGCTTCATTGTTTGGTGAATTATTTTTCTTCTTTCTTTTGTTTTTTATTTGTTTGTCGGATATGGAAATATTAGGATTTTTACACTTTGAACCCCAAAAGATATCTTAATCATTAATTTGTACCCCAAAATATTATTTTTCCTCATGATCATAGTATGAATAGTTTTTTGAAATTTTCAATACAATGGAATGAAATGATTAGATCTAAGGAATCTTTTCGTTTTCATTATTTCATAGCATTTTTTGATTCGTTATTACACCTCGAATATCATAAATTGATTTTAATGTAGCCTTCAAACTAACATACATTTCAAATTTTATTAAAAACTGATGCGCATGCCATCCGAGAATATGAATAGTGAGTTTATATTTTTGTTCAATTGCAACACTCATAAATAGCATGTGCATCAAATTTTAAGGGAATTTAAAATAAATGTTAGTTTGAAGGCCATATTAGAATTAATTTATGATAATCAAGGTATAATATTAAAAAAAAATAATCTTTCAAGATATAAAATAAAAATTAAGATATTTTTTTGGGTGTAAAAGGCGAAAAGTTCAGAAATACTTAGCCGGTGAATGTGGCCTCTATTGTTTCAATATTTATTTTTGACAAATTACAATACCACCCCCATGACATTTAAATTTATTCTCCAATCATCACTTAGTATTTTTATTAATTATAATGAGAATTGATTATCTGATCAACAGTAACCAAATTTGTTTTTAAATAAAATCCATAATTTAGTTAAAAACATCCAAAAAAATTTATTGTTGTAAAATGATTTAGAAAAATTATAAAATACACCTATTAAAATTGTAAACATGAGTACGGTAGTCTTCTCATGCTTTTATGTAATAATCAGTCCTGTCTCCTGTGCAGTCTCATCAGGGTGGGGGTTGGGGTGGGGGTGGGGGTGGGGTTCTCCATTGTGAGGTCAACCACAAATGTACATTCCATTTAATGGCTATTTGGATTGCAGTCCCAATTCGCCGTTGACATCAATGCACCAGCGGTACCGTGACAAGTGATTTGTGGCCATTAATTTGCAAAAAAACTAAGAAAAAATCATTATCGTATTGATATTTATTATATTAACAATGAATTACGCACGTGAATAATTTTGTATATAAAAATTAATAAAATATGTTATTTATTTATCAAATTTATTTTTTCAGTGCACATATTTTGTTTTAGAATTATGAAAATTTTGTATGTTCATAAAATTATTTATTAATTTTGTAATTGAAATTGATTTTTTAGTGATGTTTAAAAATTAATTTTTTTGAAATTAATTTGATTAGAATTCCACTTCCTTGAATAAAATAAAAGTAATTGTCAATATACTAATTATTTTGAAACCTTACTATAATTATGAATTAATTAGTTGCATTGAAATAAAATTTAATATACTAGTCTATAATATATATTATCAAGCATAATAAAATTTTAAAAAATTTAAGCTTTTACTTTAAAATCTACTATAATTTATTTTCACTTAAAATATTAATATAAATTAGAAAGTTTATTATGGCCGAAGAATTATATTGATATAACATAAATTGATTTCAAAAAACTATATATACGATTATTTTTTATCTTAGAAATAAAATGGTTAAACATTTTGATGAAAAAGAAAATTGACATGGAGGCATAATATTATTTTTGTATATGCGATGAGTAATATTATATTGATGGAATTTTTGAAAATTTTTTTTAACATTTTATTAAAAATATAAGTCAACTCTTTTTTTTTTTTTTTATAGAAAGTGATATTTATAATAAGGAATAAATAATTAAAAGAGATGTTAGAGATAAATAACATCCCAATTAAAAGAAAATGAACGAAGGAAGAAGACCCGATACGTTCACAAGTCTAAATCCATGGTGCAAGACTCAATGCCATTTCGGGTAAGCAGTTTAAGTTCATGGTATAAGGGCTTGGACCGACTTGCTGGCTATGGATAGATCCTTTACAACCCTGTCAGATCATGTTTTATGGGCCAATGAAACTTGATCCACAGTGAGTGGCCCATATGGGCCCAAGTTTTGGTTAATTATATACTCTGACGCTGTAACATGATTACAAATCGACATGGCATTAATATGTTTTGGTTGGAGGCTAATTCTCTTGAAGGCACATATGGACTGTCATGTCATTATTGTAATTAGAGTAATACTATTCTAACCTAATTTATTTATTTAATTTGTTGGCATAATTCACTATATTATTAGATTGTCTGTGGATATTCGAATTTAATGTTAATTCAACAATTATAATAAAATTATATTATTAAATTAGCATATTAAATTGAATTTTTAAGACTAAATAACATTACTCTTATAATTATTATTTGACTTCTTTTATGTTTGAAAATGTAAAAGTCATTTGCTAACATGCAACACTATGGTTTCAAGAAAACCAAGCAAACTGTTTTGAAATTTATATTATACTATATAGCAAATAAATTAGGTGAGAGGAACGTTGGGAGGTATTCTCTCCTTATTCGTTCTACACCAATTTTGAAGAAGCAAATTTATCCACAATGTTTTAGTAGATAGTAAATTTTTTCTAGTGCTATTCATAATCCTACGGGGGTCTATGAGCCAAGCCGGGGTAGGCTCATACTTTTTTTTTGAATTAGACTTGAGTAAGATAGGCCTAAGCCTTTACTCGGGCGAGTTATCAGGTGGGCCAAGTCGGGCTTTGGGTAGGAGTAGGTTATTTGTCACTCATTGAGCGGACTTTTTTTTATATATATAAAATTTCATTTAAAAAGATTTTAACTTAATATTTTTGTAAATTATATTTTTGAATTAAAAGTATAGACAAAATAGATAAAAAAAAAATGAATAATTTTATTTAAGAATAGAGGAGAAACTACATAACAATAGAATGATCAAATAGCAATTAAGTTTATATATTACCAATTTACCACCAAACTTTCAAAATTTTAATGATCAACATTTTTTCAAACAATTGAATGGAAGGGGCTTGGCTGGGTGGGATCTTGGGCCTGGTTTGAACGTTTTTTTATGGCAGGCTCATGGGCTGGATTTTGGTCTAAATAATGAATATGAGAACAAGTTCAAACTCCCTCTTGATATTAGGTTTGTGCTTGCCAACTATTGATTCGATCAAACTTTGGGCTAGGTAACAATACCTGTGGGCCAATTTGACCCATGAACACCCCCTGCAAAATCCTAACTCCTATCACGTGTAGGCAGGCACGAGATTTTATCTCTTTTTTTTTTTTTGGGTGGGGGACTCCATTAACAAAATTTAAAATTTACAAAAATAAATCAAACAAGTTAATGATATTCAATATAAATTATGATCTCGACAAAAACAAAAGATGAACCAAATGAATAGTTTTTTTTATTACATATCCGCGCAAGACGTCTATCAAAGTGGAACTTGATATTCTTTTTATCATAGAATCCATTTATATTGAATCCGTGCTAAATTAATTAGCAAATTCTTTTTTATATAGACAAACCTAATTAGATTTTACATGAAAAAACAATATTATCTTAGATTTAATTTTTCTGACATGAGATAAACAATTAAATAAAAAATAATCATAGATTTTGCTTTACCATATCGCACAAAGAAACAAATATTACACTTTCTCCACATATAAAATTTTATCAAGAATAAAATCGATAAATAATTTCAAAACAATGATCAGTTAATCAGGTTACAAAAAATAACTCGATTATGTTTCCTTCCCTCATAAATCTACCTAGGGGCTATGCAAATGAAGTTGAGTAATGTTATACTGATTAAATTTTAAAATTAAATTTAAAACTCAAATAAGATGACAACATATTATTTAAAATTTTTATCGGAGACTCAAATAACATAACACTAAATAAAAAAATTTAAATCAATTGTCATATTATTTAATTTTTAAATTTAATCGATATAACATTATTGAAGTATGAGAGGGGCCATGCCCCTCAGGCCTCCCTTAAGTTCCGTCTGTGTGTGTAGAACAATTAATGAGGCGGTCAAATTTGACCCGTTTTCAATGTTCAAATTTGGAAAAAGCAGAAGAGCCTTTTTGGAACCAGTTCCACTCTTTCTCTCTCCCGTCTCGTGGAATCACAAGCAAAGCAACCAAACAAAAAAGAAAAAAACAAAAAAGTACGTGGCGCACAGCCCCCGCAACCGCAAGCATTAAAGACCAACCCCACCAAAACAGAGTCCACACAACTCCCACCCAGCACCCAGCAATAGCATATTCCTCCGAATGTGCCTGCCCTTTTATAATGTACCTTTGTTTATAAACAAAACAAATCTCTTTTGTTTAGTAGTATTATAATATTGTTCTTAAAATTCAAGAATAAAATTTTCAATTTTTTTTATGAATACATACAAGAAAATACATACATATTTTAAATATATTTTATCCAATAATAAATTTATTTGTTGGTACTTAATTTCCATATTCGCTAATTTGCTATTACACGTATTAACATTCATGAGATAATGAGAGGTGTTGCTTGTCCACATTGGTGGCCATAAAGGGGATATACTTTTCAGTATTATAATAAATGTTATGTTTTGTTAGCAAAAATAAGAAGAAGAGAGTAAGGCCATTTGTAACATATTTTATTGTTCTAACCCTATTTTAGGGCGATTTGTATTATACACACCGAAAGATCCAAGAATTCTCATTTTATACTTTCAAATATAAGTTTTTTTATATTGCTAAAAGTGTTACAATGTGATTTTTCTGGTAGTTTTTGTTCTTTTTTGAGTAAATTATACTTACACCCCCCTTAACTATCACTTTTTTTCCACTTTCCCCCCTTAACTACCAAATTTCTCACACTCTAAACTAACACTTTTGTTTCACATTGCCCCAAAGTTTTGTTATCTTTTTGGACGAAAATCCCTAACATGTCAGAGTAAAACAAAAAAAATTACATAATTTGGGAGGTAAAATAAAATAATTTTAATTTTTAAAGATACAAAATGTCTTAAATTTTTTAGGGTTTAAAGAATGATTCTCCCCTTTTAAGAGGAAAGACATTATTAAAAGTTTATTATTTATATGATCAATAATTATGAATAAATAAATAAAGATTAAATTGACGGTGAAAAATGACTTTGGTGGGAGTAATGTATATTAATCTAAATGAACGGTTTGTGTCAATTTCATAGTGGGTCATTTTAGTGACCCACTAACCCCCAAAAAAACAAAAAAGTGCAGTAAGGATGGTAAGGTAGCAGAGTACAGTAACAACCCCTTCTGTACTAGTCAAGAGGCGGTAGAGAATTTTTATCTCAATAATAGTATATTAAGATATTTTTACACATATAATTCGCTCTATTGCACGTTCACAATAAACAATATTACAGTTAATAGGTGACGCTCTTGGATGAACAGTGGGGTATGCGGAGCGTTGAGAGTGAGTGACACACACGAATATAACATGCGCGTGGAGCATGCACCCGTTTTCATTCTTGGCCTCCCAAATTGAATTGTTTTCAACTTTTTCAAAACATGGAGCTCATCCGGGCACAAGCATATCAAACGAATATACCGTGGTCGCCACCATATTAATATTATTATTATTGTAAAATGGTTGTAATTTTATTTTATTAATTTAAAATATCTGCGAGGAGAAGAAACATGATGAAAATAGATGTTTTTTCCGATCATACATTAAACATTGAAACAAAACGAACATTATTTTAATTTAATTTATTAAGATAGTTTATTGAATTATTCAAATTGTGATTTCTAATAATAATTAGAACCCATTATTGATTCAATGTCAAATAAACTAATAAATTTCATTCAAATAATACACAATCAATTAGTCGTATTAAATTTTTTCAATGGGATCAACTGATTCAATGGTAATGTAATTGAATTAATAAATTGAATCAACTTTTTTTAGGAATATTACTTCGACTCTAAAAGTTGTCACTATTTACGGACTCAATTAATCATTGTTATTAATTTTAATACGAGTTGTATTATTTATTTAGACTTATTACATATCTAATGATTATGATCAATAGAGTCAACAAATAGTATTAATTTTTAGAGTCTAAATAGAATTTCTTTTTTTAATATGATTCACTAATTTAATGGTGAACATTCTTTTAGAATATGTATTATTATTATTATTATTTTATAGTAATTAAGGTTATATGATATTTTTTTGAAATAAAATTTTAATATTTAATGAAATTTACGATGAACTATTGAATTACACGAGCAAATTAGATCGAAATGGATTGCTCTACTCTTTTTTGATTTAACCATGGGAGTCGGCGCCACCAGACTCTATAAATAACTGTCAAATCCAGAAGGTCCTCCAAGTATCAGAATCTTCAACTTCCTCTCTCTCTCTCTTCTCGATTCTACCTCACTTCGCTATCATGAAGCTACACACAGTCCATGAAGGCGGTGGCTTGTGCAGAACCATCGAAGTAACCGTCGTCCAGCGCCAGGCACCACAACTTCCACCGGTAACAAAGTTCTCTCCGGTGGCCGACGAATCGGAGACCACCGGCGAAGAGCTTTATATTCCGCCTCTCAACTTCGCAATGGTCGATAATGGCATTTTCAGGTCTGGTTTCCCTGACTACCCCAACTTCGCCTTTTTACAAACCCTCGGCCTCCGTTCCATCATGTAAGTCATTATGTGCCCTTGTATTTGTGCTTTGGAAGTGTTGAAGCTGTAATGTTTGAAGAGAGAATTGAGAATTTTTGGGTTCTGGTGTGTGCCTTTCACGTTTCAGATATCTGTGTCCAGAACCGTATCCGGAGGCGAACATAGAGTTTTTGAAGTCGAATGGGATTGAATTGTTTCAGTTCGGGATCGAAGGGTGTAAGGTACGGTTTTTTGTTTCATTGAATTGGCTTTTTTTATTTTTTATTATGATTCTACTGGTTTTTCAGTTATTTGGCTGACTTTGGTTTGTGTCTCTCAATTGTGTTGGGTCACACAAGTTTGTGTTGAGTTTTAGTGGGTTTGTGTGAAAAAATACTGTATTTATGCCCAATTTGTTTATTAATTCTGATCTAACAAATCATATCCTATTGAGTTCATGTTGTATATAAACCATGTATAATTGATATATAAATGAATAGTGTCATATATTTTTTATTAGCTTCAATTATACACGATTTCTTTATTAATTGTGTTGTGTAAGGTCAATTCATTCACGAAACATGTAGCTTAAGAAAAATTCAAACCCTCTAATTTACCGTTTTATTAGTGTCCTCTTAACAGAAGGTGTAATATTTTGACACCCTAATACTTTGCATTATCACACCTATTTGATTTGATTGGTCGAGGTAGGTAGAGAATTTGAGAACTGAGTCTCTTGTGGGGGTATTTGAGTGATCAGCAAAATAGTGTGTTTTACTTCAATCACTTGAAGCTGTTTTAAGACTTAAAAAAAATATGGTATGAGAAGCAAGACTTTGGGCATAATTTTTGCAAAATTGGATTCGTAAGAGCCAATTAATGTTTTTTCTTTCTGTCAATTTTATCTTTATTTTTACACTTAATCTGAATTTTTTGTTTAATTACGTACTTAATAGTTTGTTAACAATGAAAAGTGTGGTGACATGAATCAAAGTAGCTCGGGCGAACTTTCCCAAAGAAAGAAAGCCCCAGTTCCAAAAGTAATAAAAAATTTTGATTTATGGACTGAGTTCTTGGATATCATGCCACCGCAACTATGGAGAGCTCTTCCTCCCCGAAGGGCTATTGATCATCACGAAATTGAGGTGGTACAGCCACCAGTTTTTAAATAAAACTTATGCAAATCTATTATCGGCCATAATTTATGCAATAAAAGGGCACAATACTTTAGCAATTTTGATAGAAGAAATTATTCATTACCTTTGCAAAGTTCTGATAATCAAAGAATAACATCGATATACAATTGGTTGTTATGATCGCACTTACTTATTGGTAAATTGATTCTGGAATTTCTAGTGGGTAAGTAAATGCTCAAAAGTAATGTCTCAAGCATTTTTATGCTGTCGAATTTGAAGGATGTGAGGTTTATTTCGAGTAGTGTATATATATATGTTCTTATATTTTGTGCCCTTAATAGTTTGCGAGCTTCAAGTAATATTGTTAAAGCTATATAAAGTTGAAAGGCGAAGTTGGTACCTTCTCTTTTTAGTGTTAAAAGGCGGTTAAAGTTGGAGCAACACTTTAGTTATATTATTATTCAATTGTAAAATGCTATTTGGATCTAATTTGAGAACTTAATCAATTGGAGTTATTCGATTGAAAATTTGCTCCTCCACCCAACCTTGGATCTCCCTTTAACATTGCTCCATTCAATTTTGTTAGTCTGCCTACTTTTCTAGATTTGAGTAATCTTTCAGTCTTGAATATTGATTTGAATGACAATAGGGGATCGAAAATCTTACAGAACAATGGTAGGAGTTGTAATAATTTGATTTCAGCAACTAAACTTTTAGTTCTCACAATTTTGGTTGTTACATAACATCATTGCTTGAATTTTGGAAGAATTTCTCTTACAGGAAGATTCATTAGTTCTACTAATCAACATCCCAAATTTTGTGCCCAGGAACCTTTTGTGAATATTCCAGAGGATACAATTCGTGAAGCACTAAAAGCAGTCCTTGGTATGATGATTATTTATTCCAAGTGCTTTGTTATTTAATTTCTCGTGAAAATTAAAGTGTTGAGAGTTATTATTTAATTAATTATCTGCATCGCAGATGTGAGGAATCAGCCGCTGTTGATCCATTGCAAACGGGGAAAGGTATGCGTTTATTAGTTCGCTTGTAACATCCTCCCAATGTTCAGAGTATTACAGCCTTTACTTTTGAATAGGTAGTGATTGTTGTTTGCTCTTGTTGTGCAGCATCGAACTGGTTGTTTGGTGGGATGCTTGAGAAAACTGCAGAGATGGTGCCTAACTTCAGTTTTTGACGAGTACCAGCGCTTTGCAGCTGCCAAAGCTAGAGTTTCCGATCAGAGGTTTATGGAGTTATTCGACGTGTCTAGCTTCAGGCATCTGCCAATCTCATTCTCATGTTTAAAAAGGTAAACTACCTATAACGTTGAAAAGCTTTTGCTTCCTTCGATTATTCTGAAGAAAAAGTATCTTAGTTCCTGCTTTGGATTGGAATAAACTGGAAAACGGCGATGATTTCCTGGAATGCATTTCACCCGTGAAGCGCTAATAAAAGTATTTATCAGCATCTCTTTGCTTTGAGGTCCCGCCCCCCAAATTTTTCTTGTCCTCCTTTATTCTCTATATTCATATCCTAAGCGGCTTTTTACCTACCTATGTTTTGCTAAATAAAACTGATTGATGTCTGTGTGGTTGTATCCCCTTTTAAGTGCCACAGCATGGTCAAGAGCATTTAGTACAATGCTGATATTATATTTGTGATACATATCTGGATCGGAGCTCTTTTCTTTTTCCTTTCTTTCTTTTCGGGGGTTTAGTTGGGGGCAAGGCATGTTCATAGCATCTTTTATCTGTTGGGGAAACCATCAAAACGCGCGTAAACAAGAGAAATCCTCAGATGCTTCTTAACAAAGACTTGGGTCATAGTTAGACTTTAGTCTCGCTAAACTGTTAGAAAAAAGTCTAACTAAACTGTTAGAAACAAATCGGCAATCTACTCTTTGTAACCCTACATGCTGATGGACTATACGACTTGGTGGTTTACCTATACTGATATTTTACCAATTAGCTTGCCATACTCATTTTCTCGCCTTTGATTTTCACTTGCATTTATTGTTGTTCTTGGGGGATCATATATTTATACCTAAGAGGTGGCCAAAAATAGGTCCCATTTCACGGGGTTAGATTTTCGGGTTGTCTTATATTCAAGGGTGACAACTTAATTCAGTTTTTTTTTAGAACTGTTGCAGTAATGTGAGTCTCGTTCACCTGATTATCTTGTAAGTAATGAAATATCAATAATAAAATAAATGCATCTCTATTCCAAAAATGATGACAAATTTAAATACTTAAAAATATTCTTCGGAAACATCAAATAGTTGCTTATACTATAGATATAATCTGAACTGTTCAAATACTAATGTCTGTGATTTCTACCCTGCCGACAATTCCAATCAATAGATTAGTTTGTGCAACATTCCTCTTCAAATATGAACCTTCATATTGTCACATAAGATTAATAGTCAAGTTAAGTTACTTAAGTTCAATTCGAGTTTGGTTTTAAATTATTTTCTAAATGAATTGAGCAGCTTAAACAAATATTTTAGACTTGTTTTCTTAAAAAACTTAGCTCGAACTTGTAAAACTGACTCAAGTTGTTTATATTTAAAATAGTAAAACTACTCAAGGTCAGCTTATTTTGGGCTCGGCTTGAATTTTAAACGATCCAAACTTAAAACAATTTTTCAAATTTATTTAAAAAATTGAATTCGACAGGCTTGACTAAATTAATGGCCTTATTGTCACTTGGTAAAATGGTGTTGTTTTGGGGAGGGGGGGATGAAAGAATGGTCTACCTTCCAGTTACCAAATCTCTCACCTACCCCAAAATTGGAGAAAAGAGGTAAAAAAAAAAAAACTGTGCCCTTAAACATAGCTTATAAGTGGAAGAAGATGCGATGATTATATACGAGCAAATTTTCTTTCATTCCACTTCATCCATACAACACACGAAAAAAGAAATGCTTCTTACTGCAGGGACAAATGGAACTGGAATTGATATACACTAGCACTTGCAGAATTGAATCAGCATCCTGCGTTGGAACAAACAGTGCATCGATAGAACCTTGCATTCATTCCACAGTTCACTCTTCACAGATATCAAATAAAGGCACAACAATGGCAACAAAACTAATTCCATGGTCTCAACCAAGTCTCGTGCCAGCAATCACTTAAAACAGGAAGAAAAAAAAAACTATATTTTGAAACACATATTGAAGCTTATTCCAATAAATCATAGTCAGGAACACATAACTTTACAAAGCAAAGATACAGATGTTATTAAGTAAAATGAAGTATACATGATGCAATAAAGCCTGAAGCAATTATTATTACTTGAACCCGTGTTAGAAAATGTTGGTTTTCACCTCAGGCTATCTGGAGTTTAAATAAAGTCCAGTCTACCTATAAGACCCAAAAAGCTATTGACAGACTTTCCAAGTGAACGTCAAACCTTGTATCTTCTTTCCAGATTCCTATTATTTGATCAAATGTGTTGAAGTGAAGCAAAACTTTCTGTCAATGCCCACAATTGAGGTTCTGACCAATATGGCGTTGATAGAACTCCTCATTTCTGTCCTATATGGTGTTGATAAAACTCGCCTCATCACCAACTCTTCTGGGAACGAGGAAAAAAATTCTAGTTTTGTTTCAAATTTGTGTCTTCAATGGTGCTATAGGGCCGTCTTCAAAACATATAAACAATACGTTTGGCTTGGTGTCATGGCAAGTGAACCGGCCCAATCTGGAGACAAAGCTATACAACACTGAAGAAAGAAACCAAATTACCATCACATAAAAGTAAATGCCAAATCTCGAACCTTAAACGTGGTTGTATTGTAATTTTGCAATTTGAGGTGAAATCTCAGCGCAATCGACCTTTTCCAGCAGAGTTGCATCGCTACCTTTGGTTTTTTTTTGGGAAGGAGGGGGGTAATCAGACATTATGGTTTACATTCTAACCAAAAATGGGGGGAAAAAAAAAGTAATCAAGAATCTGTACACGGTGAATCAGAATTTATGCAGGAGGACAAGAAGCAAAAATCTTACAATATCAATTTCTTGAAAATCAGCACTGCGGATCCAACATCTGCATGATGAAAACTGAAAAGAATATAATATAATGACTTATGCATGAGTTGCAGTACAAATATGAACATGCAGGTAAATATACAATTACTTTTTTACCAGCCATCTAAAATATGAAGCAGCAGAAACTACAAAGGGGACAAGGGTAGAGCACAACATCCAACAGTATATTTTTCACCCTTCATTTATATCTTTTTGAAAAGATCAAACTGTAAACTATAATTAGAATGTTATTAGTAAACAAGAAGATATGCATTCACCACATTTCCATTCCCACCTCCAATGGTCCGCAGACAAGATATCACCTAATGAATGAAGAAGGAAAACATGGAACTAACACACATTTTGGTCATTCTATCTATATCTACAATTGTGACGTCACACCCCCAAAAAAAAAAAAAAAGAATAGAGAAAAGAAAAAATCCAATATCCTCAATTACTTACAAATCTGTTTAATGCTCGAAGGGAGGTCTGCGTCAAAATATGAATAGCATTTGCCCGAATAACCTGAAACGCAAGCCACACAATTGTATCATATATCTGCAGCACAAAGTGACAAGGGCCTTCTAGTCGGTCATAGTAAGTTCATCAACCACGCAAGGGCAAGGGTGGAATCAGAGTAGAAGATATTGCTACACATACGTAACATTTCATGCTAGCATGTTAAAGCATGTATAGTCTACCAGTGAGTGTAAATAAGTAAAAATGACCACCAGTAAAAGTGTATATAGTCTTGGATAATTTCTGCTCTATCACAGGTCAAAAAGTAAGTATGTCCAAATCTAGAGTCTACTTTTCCCCTAATATCAGCAGGAGCCAGGCTTTGCACCTAGGGAGAAGAAGTGGTATCACATGCACCGATGATCTAGGGAAGTATCTAGGTATCCACATCATTCATAAGAGAGTGAGTAAGGAACATTATAACTCAGTGATTGAAAATATCCAAAAGAAATTGAGTGGATGGAAAAGAAGAAACCTTTCTTTTGCAGGCAGAAACACTCTTGTGCAAGCTGTTACCTCTACAATCCCTAACTACATTATGCAAACCTCCTGGTTACCCTAGTCCACCTATGAGAAAATTGATAGACTTAATAGAAATTTCCTTTGGGGAGATTCTGAGGAGAGGAAAAAGGTACACTTGATAAATTGGGATACTGTCTGCTCCCTAAGGAGATTGGGGTACTAGGGTTGAGAAAATGTAGAGATAATAACTTAGCTGTCCTATCTAAACTGGGTTGGAATTTACATACTGAGAGTAAGTCCCTTTTGGTGGAAGTGGTCAAAGAAAAGTACATGAATCCATCCCTAAAAGATTGGCCACGTAAGCCTAATTCATCCATAATATGGAGAGCCTTGTTGAAAACCAATCAAATTGTGAAGGATAATACAAAATGGCTTATTGGTAATGGTTCAAAAGTTTCTTTGTGGAATGACCGGTGGACAGGTAAAAGTCTACTCCAAAGAAGGATGCAGGTTCCATCTTCAGTTGATCCGAACAGCATAGTGGCTGAGATTATAAGTCCCACAGGTAACTGGAACATTCAGAAAGCTGGTATGTACCTTCCCTCTTCATTTATCTCTGATCTCTTGCACACGCCACTGCCTTTGGAAGGCTCCCATCATGACTCACCATCCTGGGGTCTTACAAGTAATGGAAAATTCTCCATTAAATCAGCCTATAATTGGATTTCTAATCCTATTCCAAGGCAGCATCATGACTTGAACTGGAATTGGATATGGAAACTGAGGATTCCACAGAAACTTAAACATTTTCTATGGTTGGTCCAAAGCGACAGACTCCTTGCAAACTCCCTGAGGTTCACAAGAAACCTCACAAATGATCTCTAGACCGAAAGCTGATTTGGTCTAGAGATCATTTCTAAATAGGAATGATCTCCAACTAGATCAATCAATGGACCTCCAAAGTTGGCTCATTAAAAACTATGATGCTAGAAAGTGACACTTATTGGAGAGGTGTGAAATGGCCTATCCTTTTTGCCTCTTTGATATGGAACATTTGGAAAGATAGGAATCAAGAATGTTTGGGAAATACAATCAACCCCCATTTTATCGCTAAGAAAGTTTGGAGACTGGCATGGGATTCATGGAATGCCTTCAATGAACCCCATTCTCAGGCGATTCCTAACCCCCCCCCCCACCCAAAACTCATTGTTGGTCTTTCCCTCGTGCAAGATGGATGAAGATGAATGTGCATGGTAGCTCTAAAGGGAACCCTGGTTCAGCTGCATTTGGAGGACTGCTAAGGAAATGATCAAGGAAGGTGGCAGCTCGGTTTCTATGGGAAGCTAAAGGACTCCAATTGCCTACAAGCTGAACTGTGGGCAATTTATCAAGGCCTCAAGATTATACAAACTCAGAATCTAAAGAAGGTAATCATGGAAACGGACTCCCTGGATGCCCTCAACCTAATCACTGCTAGGTTGGAGGAATTTTATCCTGAAAGGAATATCATTGCAAATTGCAAGCATATAATGGGATTGACTAACACCCCCATTATTCACACACTGAGGGAAGGAAATTTTTGCGATAAAATGGCAAGCTTGGGAGGGCTACAGCAGGATT